CTTGCTTTCATCCTTCAATTGTGGGAAGACAAGAACCAAGGAGTTCATCAGCCGGTAACACATTTGGTGCTGTGACTTGGATCTCAAGACTTAAGGTATGGTTTCCCTTTGATTTTCTATTCTCACCTTGACTTTGTTTTCTGGAACATTTGCTGCCGTTGGAGCACATGCTTTTGACCTTGTCCTAAGAGTCCTTGTTGTTCCTGCATGGAGAAGGCCTAGCCTACTGGCATAAGGGATGCCATGCGGGACCCTGGGATTTCGGATTTGTGCTTTGTCTCCTACTTAGTAAAACACTTATGAATGCTAGGTGAATACCACCCTTGGGAGAGGTATTCGGGAATATCCGTGGTTCTTCTGGGTAGTACGGGTTAAGACTCTGCGGAGGGTCAAAGAGGAAGTCTGGAGGGGTTTGGGACAACCACCTCCCCTGCTACTTGTGAGTGCCATGGTCCTGTTGAAGGAGGTACTGCAGGAGGAGAGGCTAAACCATCACTGGACCATAAATCTGGCAGGAGCCCGTACAGAACATGGGCACATGGGGACTTAGAGGATAATTCTGGAAATCACCCATGAAGCAGGGAAAAGCGGAGGCCGTGGTAAGGCATGCTAGCCCACGTTTCAGGTTGGTCCACGAGGGGCCAGGGTAGTGCCTGTGTGAGGAGGGACACCTCCTCCCAGGGCATCAGGACAGGTAGGGGGATGCCAACAATCCTGTGCCTTTTTCTCAAAAGGGGAGTCAAGCAACTCAGCACTCCCAGGCATCACCTCTCGGGTGTAGTCTCCAACATTCTTCAGAACCTGCAAAACAAACAGCTAACCTTTCCCATAACACTGTCTGCCACAGACTAGGGAAATGGTCTGAGGTGTCGCACGTACAGGCCTTCATGGCACTAAGGGACAGCAGGGATTTGTGTAAGAATTATACATTAGACCCAGTGTATACAGGAAGCTCAGTGTATAAAGGAAGGGATAACAAAGTGCATTGTTAAGCCAGTGACCTATACAACAAGGGAAACAACCCAGGAGGCCACGGAAAACCCTGTCCTCTTCCATGAATGGCTGGTGGAGGGAGTCAGGAAGTTTATGAACATGGACCCTTAGTCCTCAGAGGGACAGGGAACACATTCCTGGGAACACATTTCATTAACCAGTCAGCCCCTCTACAGAAGCCTGACATTCGAAGGAAGCTTCAAAAATTGGCTATGGGACTCCAAACCCCAACCAATCAGCTCACAGAGAAGGCAAATGAGGTGTTTAACAACCAGGAACGTGAGAGAAAGAGCAGGAAAGGGAGAAACACAGAGACAGGAAACAGGCCCAACAGATTTTGGCTGTGGCCCCAGCTTTCCAGCCCCCTCTAGGTTGCCCAAACGGAAAACCTACTGGAGCAGGTCACCACTGTGGAGAAATGGGATGTTAAAAGGCCGAGTGCCCCAACTCAACTGGCAAAGAAAGAAACTTCACCAAGGACCCCCAGGACGCCTTGCCCAGCCTGTGGAGAGCTTGGACACTGGAAGAGGGACTGTCCCCAGGCCTGAAGGGGACCGGGATCAGAGCCCTCCCCTCTGATGTCGTTGGACTGAAGGGGCCCTCTGCTCTGGCTGGCCTCCCCAAGGACAATCAACATCAGGGGGCTGGAGCCTAGGGCAACCCTGGACATGTCAGGTAAGATTGTCAGTTTTCTTATGGACACAAGGGCTCTGTTGTTGACCTCTTATGGAGGACCTCTCTTTCCCATTTCCTGTCGGGTTATTGGAACAACAGGTAAGACCAAACAAAAACCTTTCATACCTCCACTGTGCTGTTTGTGGGGTGATCTCCTTTTCACCTATCAATTTTTGGTAATGCCTGAATGCCCTACTCTCTTACTGGGATGGGATCTCCTTTCAAAATGGGGTGGAATGATCTGTCTAGGTGGTGAAACTTCCTTCCCTATCCTAGTTCTCAAGGAGAGAAAGTTGGAACAACAATTAGATCCTCAGTTTCTTCAACTAGTTGATACTGTGGTATGGGCTGGGAAGTCCCAAGACAAGCCAAAAATGCTCAGCCTGTTAAGATTTGACTTAAAGACCCTATGAATAATTTTATCTAATTCAAAAGTTATTTATAAGCTGATTCAAAATAGAGAGTTAGAGAATTAAAGCAAGAAGGAGCCAGTAAGTAGGAGAGAGAGAGATGTGAAGAAAGTTAAGGATATGAAGATGTATTTTTGATAAGGTAAAAAGAGAATAATTTTGCATGAGAAAAGATCTTATATAGTAAATTTCTGTCCTCAAACAAACTGGCTGGTTATTTAAGAAAGGAAAATTTAGTACAAAACATAAAGTCCAAGCATGTTGTAGATGGTCTGTGTAAGTTGTGATAAGGTTTGTGAAAGAGAATTTAGAAAGAAAATTTGTATGTGATCAAGCTGTCTATAATCAGAAAGAAATTTTTAGTTAAAACAACAAGGAAAAAGTCCCAGCTAATCATTTGTCCTCATTGTGAGAAGGTCCCCTATAATATAAAAATACTTGAAAACATTAAACAAGGGAATGGTGGAATCTCACCATTGGAACAAATCTTTGCGTCCCTCAGAGGATGGCTGGGATCTTGGCTAACACCAATTATATCAGCCTCAACTGTAATAGTGATGGTCCTAATATTAGGCCATTGTGCTTTTAATCTTCATGTTAAGTTTGTCTCTTCCAGACTAAAACAATTCCAGACAAAGCTTCTGGTGATGCAGGGTTTTCAGCCGATTCCCACAAGTAACGAGTCCCTAAATGCTTTAGATTTAACCACACAGCATATCCCAACACGGGCCCTAACCCTGACTCTTCTGACAGGCAGCAAGGATTATGGGACCCAGACTCAATTTTGCCCCCATCCAGCAGGAAGTAGTTACAGATAAGGAATCAATGCCCATAACCCTTGAAAGAATTCAGGGTCCCAAATCCTTGAGGGGGAAATGTTAGCTTGGTAGGAAATGAGACATGAGCAAAGGAGGTGAGGAACAGGCTGCGTAAATAAATCGGATGCTGAGTAAGAAAACTCACTGCAAGATAACGGTGGATGTAGAGACCCCAGTGCCACTGTCCACTGGGGGGTGTGCTGCTCCTGTTCCCCTCTGGAGTGTACTATCGTTTGCTAATCTTTCCTGGAAGTCCACATCAACGTCTGGAGGTGCACTTGCAGAATAAACTTTGCTGTTTGCTGCTTCGAAACTGTTTCTTGCTTTCATCCTTCAATTGCAAGAAGACAAGAACTGAGGAGTTCAATGGCTGGTAACACTAGGACGCACGTGCTGATATATGTAGGGGTAAAGGTGCATCATGTCTGCAACTTAGTCTTAGGGGAAAATGTCTGTCTATCTCTAGAAAGGGAGAAAGAGAAGAAAATGGTAAGGCCAGTGTGGCAAAATGTTAACCAGGGAATCTGACTGAAGAGGGATGGGTGTTCTCTGTGGTATTATTACTACTTTTCCGTGTGAAATTATTTCCGAATCCAAAAAAAAACTACAAAGATGTAGGTTATAGCAGACACCTGTCATTTATGACTATTCAAAATCTCTTAAAACCTCCTCTACATTTTGGAAGCTCTCTATAAGCCTTTGCAACACAGAAGCCATAATCTACACTTCCAGGCCTCCCTTGCCGCTAGTGGAGAACAAGAGTCAGTTCTGGTGCTCAGATGTATCTGCAGAAGACACTTAGTCAAAACAAGGTTAATCAACAACCGCCTGCTGGCCTGGGTCACAGAGCAGTGGGATTCCCAAGTGCACAGTAGCTGGCTTGGCAGAGCAGATCCACAGAATGGTTCTGGAATCTTTCCTGGAAGCTTGGCCCCCAGCCTATTTCCTCAGTTCTCCTGGAGATTCTGTGAGATATTTATTTTCTGTTAATGATAATACCTAACACAGCTTGCCAAGAACTAGGCACAATTTAAAGTACTTTGCACACACCAGCTCATTTAATTCCTGTGTCTCTCAAGGACCTACTGCACGGTACAGGAGAGGTAAGGAGGAATGGATCCTCTGTGGCTATGGAAACTGCCCAGGAACCACTCACCTGTACACAGGCAATCACTCCACAGCACAGAATAGCCCCCTGGTCACAAAATGCACCTCAACTCCTGTGAGAGCTCTGATCCCCTAGGTAAATCCAGCCCCTGATAGCCATCTGAGATCACAGGGTACTGTCTGAAAGCAGAGTCAACAAACTTTCCTATAAAGGGCCAGAAAGTAAATATTCTGGCTTTGTGAGCCATATGGTTTCTAACATAGCTACTCAACTCTGTTGTGCAAAAGGCGCCAGGCATCTGTAAACAAATTGGCATGGCTGTGTTAGCAGTGGGCCAGCTTTGGCCTGCAGGTTATAGTTCATGGAACTGTGCCATGCAACATCCCCCAGACTTTCTAGCTGGTGTCAAAGGGCCTCCCCGGTGACAGACATGTCATATCTGGGCTGAGTTCTCCCTGTTCAGGGGACAGGGCACAGCTCTGGGATACTGAGGACAATGGGTGGGTCAGCTGGGCCACCAGAGCAGGGCACCTAATAAGGTGCTCCATAAATGTCTGGTGATGAATGCCTCTGGGAAAAGACTGAGCCTGGAACCTTGTGGGTAAAGAAATGAGGTGCACAGACAGCTCCCTCTGTGGCAGAGACTGGAAGCTAGGAAGCAGCCACATGTAACTGTCCAGCAGCCACGGGAGGGTGGGGGAATGGGGACCAGAGTTACAGCAGAGCAGAGAGGATGAGAAAGCTAATCTCAGACTGCAGATATGCACAAAGGAATGCGGGGCAGTGGGGGGAGTCTTGGGTCCAAGTTATGGAATGGGAGGGACCAGGAAGGGTAAGGAATTGGTGGTAATGAGTAGGTACCACTTGGAAGGATGACAGAGCCATCAGATCTGAAAAACTCAACTTGATTTTATATAAACAAAGTATCAGTTAAAACCACTGACAGTGAACTCACCCCTTATGACTAATTACCAAACAAAAGAACTACTGGTTATCTCAAACCAAATGTCACTTTACTTTTTTGGTAATTTTTGGTTACAATAATAAACTCTATTTCTGAATATTGAGCTTCCATAATCTTTTCCCTTCTAACAATGTGTTGTCTGCTCACAAACTGCAAACACAAACAAAATAAAACAAAACCCAAGAGGTCCCATGAGGCAAAAGCAACAGCTGTGGGAAGGGAGCCTGTAAAGGATGATTCAAAGGAGGGTCCCAGGCTTTGTGGTCATGAGATGTCAGGCAGAGGGTCAGGGAGAGAGCCCAATCTTCAGGTCTGGGAAGTAGCAGGCTGAGACAATGGCCAGAGAGGGGTCAGAGAGGAAAGCATGTTTCAGTTCCCTCCTACCAGCCCAACAGGCTACTCCCTGGTGTGAATCAACTGGTGTTTAATCAATTTTGACCGTTGGCTGAAGGCTTTCCCACAGGCAGTGCAGTCATAGGGCTTCACCCCAGTGTGGATCCTCTGGTGCTGGATGAGGACTGACCGCTGACTGAAGGCTTTCCCACACTCACTGCACTTGTAGGGCCGCTCGCCAGTGTGGATTATTTGGTGCTGTATAAGGTGTGAACTCTGGCTGAAGCCCTTACCGCATTCAACACATGTGTAGGGCTTCTCCCCAGTATGAACTTTCTGGTGGTGAATGAGATTTGAGCTTCGGTTGAAGGCTTTACCACACTGGTTACATTCGTGGGGCTTCAACCCATTATGAATCCTCTGATGCTGAATGAGAGTTGAGCTCTGGCTGAAGGTTTTTCCGCATTCGGTACACTCATACGGTTTCTCTCCAGTGTGGACTCGCTGGTGAAGGATAAGGTTGGAGCTGCGACCGAAGGTCTTCCCACATTCACGGCACTCATAGGGCTTGTCACCTGTGTGCACGCCCTGGTGCTGAATGAGAGCTGAGCTGTGGCTGAAGGCCTTCCCACAGATGCTGCATCTGTACGGCTTCTCTCCTGTGTGGATTATCTGGTGCTTTCTGAGCACCGAGCTGTAACTAAAGGCTTTTCCACACACGTTACACACATGAGGCTTCTCCCCAGTGTGAATTCTCCGGTGCTGAATAAGGCTGGAGCTCTGACTAAACGCTTTCCCACAGTCGCTGCACTTATAGGGTTTCTCTCCAGTGTGAACCCGGTGGTGCTTAATGAGGTTGGAGACCCGACTGAATGGCTTGCCACAGTCACTACACTCGTAAGGCTTCTCTCCAGTGTGAACCCTCTGGTGCTTCCTCAGGTGTGCACTCTGGCTAAAGGCTTTCCCACACTCACCGCACTCGAAAGGCTTCTCACCTGTGTGAGTCCTGTGGTGTTTGATGAGGTTTGAGCTCCGCCTGAAGGCCTTCCCACACTCACTACACACGTACGGTTTCTCCCCAGAATGGATTCTTTGATGCTGGATGAGGTTTGAGCTCCGCCTAAAAGCCTTCCCACACTCGTTGCACTCATAGGGCTTCTCACTCATGTGAGACTTCTGGTGCTTTTTAAGGCTTGAGTTCTGGCTGAAGGCTTTTCCACATTCGCTGCACACATAAGGCCTTTCACCACTGTGGTGACCCTGGTGCCCAGCAAGACCTGAGTGCCCGTGGAAAGCTTTCTTACTCACTTGAGATCGCTGATGGTTTTTAAGAACTGAGTTCTGGCTGACGGATTTCCCACATTCATTACACATAAAGGACACTTCTCCAGTGCGGACTATCTGATGCTGAATAAGGTCGGGGTTTCCTCGGAAGGTTTTTCCACACTCGTTACATATGAGTGGGCTTTCGGTTGTGGGAACCTCCTCATGGTCAGTTAGGTCCATGCTATGCTGGAAGCTCTGGCCACACGTGTCATAGGGCTGTGGCATCTCTTCTGTAGGGATTCCCTGACAAGCCATCAGGTTTGGGCTCAAACTGAAGCTTCTGTCAAAACCATTACAGTCCAGATCTTTCTCCCCTAAGGGGCTCCTAAGGGGCACTGTCGCTGGTGTGAAGTCCCCCTCCTGGGAGAAGGACTGCACCATTCTCTCACCTTCAGGGACCTCCCAATCTCGTTCTGATACATCATCACAGAGATCTCCAAGCTCAGGTGCCTGGGAAACATCACCAGTATAGTTTTCTGATATTTCTGCCTGTGACTCCAAATCTTCAGGAATGTTTTCCTTCTGAAGAAACTCCTTGTCCTCAGTCCTGGTGTCACAATCTGAAACAAGAAATATGAAGGAACTGCTGTCGCAGGAGCAGGAAAACAGATGGCAAGTCTGCAGAGCCACCAGCCCCCTCTGTGGTGGAGGTGAGGGGAGCAGGGGACCCACTGGGGGCAGCAGTCCAGATCCACAGGGACCAGAGAGGGGCTGGAGAAGTGTCTGGGGGGAAAGGCCGCACAGGAACTGTAGCTGAGAAAGAGGCGCTTGGTGGATCTTCGACCCTCCCTCCCCAGGGTGCCACACCTCAGGAAACACTCCTGCAGTCTGCCTTCCGGCTTAGGCCAAAAGCCTGGGTGCTCCCAATACCCCCGTCCTTGACACCCACAGCAGGCCACTGGCAAGTCCTGCGAGCTCTATCTCAGAATGCATCCCAAATCCAGGTGCTTCTCACCTCTCCCACCTATACCAGGAAGACAGCCCACACTTTACACTCCACTGTTACGCATTTTACCCCTTCTTCTTCTTCGCTGCCAGGCGTCAGCCTGTCAGGCTTGTTTGGTTCTCTCAGACACTCTCTATGGCACTCAAGCTGTCCTAGGAGTCACTAGCGTGGAGAGTGGCCCTGCCGCAGGCAGCGGAGCCAAGTGGCACAATGGTGTGCTGGGCCAAGAAGCTCACGGACACATCAAAGACTCCCCCTCATGGTAGGGACCTGTGTGAAACGTCAGATGCTGTCCCACTCAACCGAGACTGCTCTGGCCTGTCAAAGCCACCTTTACCCCCTAAAACCTGCAACTCTGATTGGAGTTTGCTGGACAACTTCTGGCCCTGGTAACAATGTGCATGCAGTTGTGCCCATCTTTCTGAACATAGAAACATGCATAAGGCTCCCTGTCACGCCAGAAGATAGGCTTTGGCATCTCCCTCTCCTCTCTTCACACCTTAAGAACAAAGAACCCCTCATGCCCCTGGATCCCTCACTCGAATGATGATCTCGAGTCTCTCACTCAAACTGACAACCCAGGCCACATGGCCTCTGGATGTTGCATACCTTCCCTGGTCTTCTAACATCCCCTCCTGTCTACAGACAGCCTGGCAACATCAGACACGGCACCATCAAGCACTCAAACACCCTCCCAGTGGCTCCAGGCCTGTGTGACCCAGGCCATCCCAGACCTCACCACACCTCTCCCCACCTCTGTCCTGCTGTTCCCTGAGCAAAGCAGGGAATACACCCACCTTAGGGTCTTCCCTGCCTGGAACACTTTCCACGTGGCCCTTGCACTCCCTCCTTCCCTTCCACCAGCCTCTGCTCAAATACACTTGAGAGCCCTTCCCTGACCATCATCCATAACTCCCAGCTCCCTCACTCTCCTCATCCCTTCCCTCTGTCTCCTACACTGCCCAGATCACTCCCAGACACAGTACTATGTCCCCAGGACTAGAAGAACCCCTTGTCTAGCTGGCTGTAGTCAGTAATGCTGGGTGGGTAGTCAAAGATACCCCCAGCCCCCTACCCACCTCCTTGGGACCACCGCCCCTTGGTCCTGCTCCCTCACTGCCTCTTCCTGTCTGGGACTTTCAGAATTTGCCATAACAGTGTTCTGCCTCTAGTCGGAACACATCAGTTCCTGAGGTGCCACCAGTGGTGTCAATGTAGATCCGACATGGCCACAGACGTGGCTCTCACCTTAACCCTGACAGGACCTTCCCCTCTGCCTGCCGCACCCCCGATCTCTTGGTGATATTTCATGCTCAGGTTACCTGATACCTGTGGCCCAGACACATTGCACTGTGGCATCTCCAGCTGGAATACCCCCTATAGCTCCCTGCACCCCAGAGAGTTGGCACCAACCCTCTCTTCTCCCGCAGGACTGCCCTGGGTGCCTTTCTTTACCTTCCTGCTGCCCCTCAGCAGGCTTCCTGCCACATACTCCACATGGGCTGTGGGAGCCCTCTCCACGTTCCCCACAAGCCTCAACTCCCCAAGTTCAAAGCCCCAGCCCTGGCTCCAGGAGATGTCTAAGAAATGTGGCATCTACATGTTGCTGGACTCCCACGAGTTATGGGGGGAAGTGTGGGCTGCTGGGACAGGAAAGGTCTGGACAAGAGGCCTCAGCCCCACCAGGGGCAGTCTGGGGCTTGCTGTGCCCCCTCTTAAGACCCTGACTCAGGAGCCCCTTGCCCTCTTCTGGCTGTGTGGAGAAGGGGCCGAACTGGGAAGGACAAAGAAGGCTGTGGCAACTACGCAGCAAAGCTTTCTGTGAAGTGTCAGAGAGGACCCATTACGTGTTGTGGCTATATGGTCTCTGTCATATGGTCTTCTTCATTGCTTTTAAAACAACCCTGAGAAAAACCTCAAAACCATTCTTAGATTGCAGGTGATACAAACAGTCCACTAGCTAGATTTGGTGACTCCTGATTGAGACAAGATGAAAATGGTGTGGAAATCAGGAGATGGCAGCAATGGGGAATTGGTTTTTTAGCCTGAGTTTTCTAAAAGACTCTTTTAGAAAAAAGAGTCTTTTATTGACACATGAATTAGAAGTGAATTCTGTAGGTGAGAATGGTGGGAGATCACTTTTTGGACTTACTAAATTTGACGTAATTCTTTCCTGCAATATAAGAACTGTGGAAAAAATGAGGGAAGTTCCTCTTAAGAAAGGAAATATAAAATAAAAAATATGATTTCCCTTCACGAAAATCTTTAAAAAGTCAGTAAAATTTGAATTAAAGGTGAACAAAAAGATTTGAAAGCAAATACAGTTGCTTGCACTGTACTCTGACACCCAACTGGAGAAGGGTGAGGACTCTGAGCCCTTCTAGAACAAAACAGACCTGTGGGACACAGCTTAGATAATAATCCAAGTCATAAATCCACACTCATGTGAATGCCATGTGTGACTGTGATGCATTAGCTCTTGTTGGTGCCTCAGCCAGGCTGTCTGCTGGACAGACTCCAAAAGGAACCTCACACTCAGGGGCTCCCTAGTCCTCCATCTCGCACAGCAACTTGTCTTCAGTTTATTTAATAATTTATTCAGGTGAAATTCACATACTACAAAACTACCCATTCTAAAGTGAACAATTCATTGGCATTTAGTACATCAAATGTTGTGCATCTACTACCTCTACTTCCAAAACATTTCCATCTATCCGAAGTAAAACCCCTTACTCATGAAGCAGCTTATCCCCATCTCCCCCTCTCTCTAGCCCCCGACAATCATCAATCCGTATCTGCCTCTATTAATTTACCTATTCTGGGTATTTCATATAAATGGAATCATACAGTATGTGGCCTTTTGTGTCTGGCTTCTTTCACTTGGCATAACATTTTAGAGGTTCAGCCATCTGCACTGTAGCAGGGATCAGTACTTACTTTCTTTTCAAGAGTGAATTATATTTCATTATATGTCTATACCACAATTTATCCACCTATCCATTGAAGGACATTTGGGCTGTTTGCATCTTTTGGTTACTGTGAATAATGTGGCTCTGAATATGATATACATGCACTTGGCTTCAGTACCTGTCTTCAATTCTTCTTGGTATATATCTAGAAGTGGAATTATTGGTTCATACAGTAATGCTATGGTCAAACTTTTGAGGAACCACCAAGTTACCTTCCATAGTAGCTGTACCATTTTACATTCCTATCAGCAACATATGAGGATTCCAATTTCTCCACATCCTCAAGATGTTATCTTTTGTTTTTAATATCATAGACATCCTAGTGGGTGGGAAATGGTAATCTCACTGTGGTGGGGATTTTTATTTGTATTTTTTTGGTTGTCGTTGTTCTTGTTTTTAAGACAGAGTCTCAGCCAGGCACAGTGGCTCATGCCTGTAACCCTAGCACTCTGGGAGGCCGAGGCAGGAGGATCACTTGAGCTCAGGAGTTCAAGACAAGCCTGAGCGAGAATGAGACCCCGTCTCTATTAAAAAAAATAAAAATAAGACAGAGTCTCACTCTGTCACCTGGATGACAGTGCAGTGGTGTCATCACAGCTCACTGCAACCTCAAACTGCAAACCACCACCACTACCACCATGATGAAACAGATGCCTCCTAGGCATAAGTGCAGGGTGGCATGGACATCATCTCTTCAGAATAAGGGCATCATTGGAGAACAATTCTATTACCTGGCTGCTGATGGTGAGGGTGGACAGCTTCCAGCTTTGCATCACCAGAGCAGAGCAGACCACTGACTGCAGATGCAGCGTGGGTCACAGTAGGAGCATCACTCACACAGGTCCGGGCTGCAGGGGTCCAAGGGGATGGTCCTGGAGCTGAGAGCTCCATCTCTGCCTCCTCATGGCGACCTCTGAGGCTGGGCATGGCTGGAACCTGAAACCCAGCAAGGACACAGGTGAGTGTTCAGAAAGGCTAGTTCCAGGGATCTATCCTCCTATCATGGAGGGGTCTCTTCCTCTCTTCTTCTTCTCCCACTGCAGCCCGAGACCTGAAGAGGTCCTGGGGCTTCCAGATCCCAGGGATTGATGCTATGTCCCCTGATGTGCAACCCAAGGGGAGGGAGAGTCAGCCATGGGGACACAGACTCATGAGCCAGGGCTGTAGGTATAAAGGGGTAAGATGCTGAACCCCAAGGCAAAGTGAGCCCACAATGCCTGGCAAGCAGCCCTTCCTCCCGAGGGGCCCAGGCCCATCATGATAGGCGGAGAGTAGCCCCCAGAGATTGCACCATGCTGTGGGTCCACTCCTCTCAATTCTTGTTCCTG